CTTTATTTATTTAAATTTTTAAGAGAGAGACGGGTTGAGGGAAGGTCAGATGAAGAGAGGGAGAGAAAATCTTAAGCAGGCTCCATACCCAGCATGGAGTCCCATGCGGGGCTCAATCTCACAACCCTGAGATCATGACTTGAACCAATATTAAGAGTTGGACGCTTAACAGACTGAGCCACCCAGGTGCCCCAAGAAGCCACTTTATTTTTTTTAAAGATTTTATTTATTTATCAGAGAAAGAGAAGGAACACAAGCAGGGGAGCAGCAGGCAGAGGGAGGAGCAGGCTCCCACTGAGCCAGGAGCCCAATGCAGGACTCGATCATAGGACCCTGGGATCATGACCTGAGCTGAAACCAGACGCTTAACCAACTGAGCCACCCAGGCATCCCAAGGAAGCCACTTTAAGTATAAAGACACATATAGATTAAAAGTAAATAGATGGATGGGGCGCCTGGGTGGCTCAGTCAATTAAGCATCTGCCTTTGGCTTAGGTCAAAGCCCCGCATCGGGCTCTCTGCTCAGGGAGAGCCTGATTCTCCCTCTCCCTGCCACTCCCCCCTGCTTGTGCTCTCTCTCTCTCTAACGAAGAAACAAATAAAATCTTTAAAAAAAAAAAAAAAGTAGATGTATGGAAAAAAATATACCATTCTAAAACTAATCAAAAGAAAGTAGGAATACTGTATTAATTTCAAACCAAACCGACTTCAAAGCGAAGAAAGTTATCAGGGATAAAGAAGGCCATTACATAATGATAAAGGGGTCAATTCTCTGAGACATAATGATTCATAACGTATATGTGCCTAACAAAAGAGTGTTAACCTACATGAAGCAAAAACTAATAAAACTACAAGGAGAAATAGATGAATTCATTATTATAGATGGAGCCTTCAACATCCTCATCAGAATGAACTTATCTATTAGGCAGTAAATCAGTAAGGACATAACAACACCATAAATCAACTATAGACTACTTCAGCCCAAAACAATAGAATACACAATTTCTTAAAAGCTCCCATGAAATATTCACTAAGACAGGTCACATTCTGAGCCATCAAACACACCTTAACAAATTTAAAAGAATAAAAATCACATAATGTCTGCTCTTAGGCCACAATGAAATTAAACTAGAAATCAAAGCAAGATAACAAGAAAATCCCTAAATACATGGAGATTAAACAAGGCACTTCTAAATAAAGCATGGATCAAAGAATAAATCTCAAGAAAAATGTAAAAACAAATTAACCTAATATTTAAAAACATTAACTTAAAATGAAAACACAACTTATGAAAACATGTGGGATGCAGGGAAAACATGGCACAGAGGAAATTTTTAGCATTAAATGTATATATTAGAAAAGAAGTAACATCTAAAATCAATAACCCAAGTTTCTACATTAGGTAACTAGAAAAAGAATAGCAAATTAAGTCCAAACCAAACAGAAAAAGTATAAGATTTAGAGCAGAAATCAGTGATATTGCAAACAGAAAAAACAGAAAAATGAACAAAACAAAAAAGCTGTTTCTTTTAAAGACCAATAAAATCAATAAGCCTCTAGCCAGAAAGTAAAAAAGAAAGAAGACACAAATTACTAATACCAAAAAGGAAAGAGGTGACATCACTACAAATCCCATGGACATTAAAAGGATAATAAAGGAATAGAATGAACAACCATATGATCACAAATTTGATAACCTAGATGGAATGGATGAATTTCTTGAAAGACACAATGTGCCAAAACTCACACAAAAAGGAACAGACATTCTGAATAGGCATCTATTTATTAAAGAAATTGAATCAATAATCTTTCAAAAGGGAAAATGCTAGGCCCAGCTGGCTTCAGTGGTGAATTCTACCAAACATTTAAAGAAAAAATTATACGAATTCCTTACAATCTCTTTCAGAGGACAGAAGAAGAAACACTTCCTAATCCATTCTATGAATACCACAACCAGACAAAGACATTACAAGAAAAAAACAAAAAAACAAAAAACAAAACACAGACCAGTATCTCTCATAAATAGATGTAAAAATCCTCAAAAAAATATTACCAAATCAAATACAACATAGTATAAAAATAATTATACACCATGACCAAGTGGGATTATCATTCAAAAATCAATTAATATGATCACATCAACAGGCTAAAAAAAGAAAAATGACCATTTTTTATTAGATGCAGAAAAATAATTTAACAAAATCCAACACCTATTCATGATAAAAAAAAACTATCAGTAAACTAGGAGTAGAAGGAAACTTCCTCAACATGATAAAGAGTATTGGCAGAAAACCTCCAGCTAATCTCATACTTCATGGTAAGAAACTAGAAGCTTTCCCACAAAGACCAGGAACAAGTTAACGATATCCCATCTCACCACTCCTTTCCAACATCAAAGTGGAATTTCTAGCTAATGTGATAAAACAACTAAAAGAAATAAAGGTACACAGAATGAGAAGGAAGAAAAAAAACTGTCTTTGTTTGTAGATGATATGATCATCTACGCAGAAAATCTAAAAGAATTAACAAACTCCTGGAACTAATAAGCGATTATAGCAAATGGCAGGATACAAGTTAATATACAAAAGTCCATTGCTTTCTTATATACCAGCAATGAATAAGTGGAGCTCGAAACAAAAAACACAATACCATTTATATTAGCACCCCAAAAAATGAAATGGTTATATTAAACCTAAAAAAATATCTATAAGCTCTCTATGAAGAAAACTGTAAAATCCTGATAAAATAAGTCAAAGAGGGGCTCCCGGGTGGCTCAGTCGTTAACCATCTGCCTTTGGCTCAGGTCATGATCCCAGGACCCTGGGATTGAGCCCCACATTGGGCTCCCTGCTCAGTGGGAAGCCTGCTTCTCCCTCTCCCACTCCCCCTGCCTGTGTTCCCTCTCTCGCTGTGTCTCTCTCTGTCAAATAAATAAGTAAAATCTTAAAAAAAAAAAAAAAGTCAAAGAATCAAATAAATGGAGATATTCCATGTTTATGGATAGAAAGAATCAGTGTTCTCAAGACCTCCCAACTTGATGCTGTTCCTCTTAACCTGACCTATAGATTCACTGCAATCTTAATCATAATCCCAGCAAGTTATTTTGTGTATACTGACATACTGTTTCCAAAGTTTATATCGGAAAGTTAAAGACTCAGAATACCCAACACAATACTGAAGAAGAACAAGTTGGGAGGACTGACACTAAAAGATTTACAATTAAGCTACCGTAATTAAGACAGTGTGGTACTGGTCAAAGAATAAACAAACAGATCGAAGAACAGAACAAACCCAAAAATAGATCCATGTAAATACAGTCAACTGATCTGTCCCTTTGACAAAGGGACAAAGGCATGGAGCAAAGACAGTCTTTCCTACAAATGGTGTTGGAACTGACCATCCACATGCAAAAAAATGAATCTAGACACCAATTTAAAACTCCTCACAAAAATTAACTCAAAATGGATCATAGACCTAAATGTAAAATGCAAAGCCTAGAATATAACAAAGGAGAAAACCTCAATGACCTTGGATACAATGATTACTTTTTAGATATAACCTCAAAGGTACAATCCTTGAAAGAGTAAGTGATAAGTTAAACTCATTATAATTAAAACTTCTGTACTGTGACAGACAATGTCCAGAATGAAAAGACAAGTCACAGATTGGAAGAAAATATTTGCAAAAGAGACACCTGATAAGGGACTATTATCTAAGATAAACAAAGAACTCTAAAGAATCAATAAAAATCAACCCAATTTAGAAATGGGCCAAAGACATTAATAGACATTTCACCAAAGAAGACATACAGCTGGAAAATAAGCATATGAAAGAATATTCCACATCATATGTGATCAGGGAAATGCAAATTAAAATGAAACTCCTAGGCACCTGGGTGATTCAGTCAGTTGAGCATCCTACTCTTGGTTTCGGCTCAGGTGTGATCTCAGGGTCATGATCTCAGGGTCATGAGATCAAGCCCCATGTCAGGTTCCACGCTCAGCCGAGTCTCTTTGTTCTTCTCCCCCCCCCCGCTCTGCCCCTCCCCCTGCTTATGCACTCTCTCTCTCTCAAATAAATAAGTAAATAAAATCTATAAATTAAAAAAATTTAAAAAGTAAAACAAAACAAGACTTCACTCCACACCTATGACAATGGCCAAAATCCAGAACACTAACAATACCAAATGCTGACAAGGACGTGGAGAAATAGGAACTCTGAATCACTGTTGATAGAAATAAAAAATGGTACAGACACTTTGTTTTTTTTGTTGTTGTTGTTGTTTTGTTTTTTTAAAAGATTTTATTTATTTATTTGACAGAGAGAGACACAGCGAGAGAGGGAACCGAAGCAGCAGGAGTAGGAAAGGGAGAAGCAGGCTTCCTGCTGAGTAGGGAGCCCGATGTGGGGCTTGATCCCAGGACCCTGGGATCATGACCTGAGCCGAAGGGAGACGCCTAACGACTGAGCCACCCAGGCGCCCCATTACCGTACCCATTCATGAAAGCAGACCAAATGCCCTTTCCACAAGAGAATGGACAAACTATCATATATTCTCACACTAGAATACTTACAGTACTAAAAATGAATAAACTAAAACTATATACATCTACACAGAAGAATCTCAAAAACCCAACTCTGTGTGAAAAATGTAATTCTCAAAATATATACCATGTTGATTCCATCTATTAAAGAATTCAAAACTATACTGAACAGCAAGAGAAAATCAATACATGTCAGGATAGGAAGTCAAATGACAAAGCAAATCTATTCTTATTTTCCTAAGGAGATAATTTTTTTTCAATAGATGAGTTTGGAATTAATCAAAAACTACTGAATCTAATCCTTAAATACTAACTTTGAAGAAATAAGACTCTTAACACTTTATCTGAAGACTATCAATGACTCAGCTCGTGTCACCAATGCCCAACTAAAGAGATACAAACTCTACTGCCCTTTCTTTCACATTTTCTCTCTTCATTTCTAGATTTCTTTTATACCTTGGACAAGTCAGTTGTTCTCTCATGACCAAACAACTTTGCTTTGATCTCTTCTACTTTTCTCCTGTCATCTTCATTTAATTCTGAAATGGAGTAGCCACATTCATGAGCCAGATTAAATTTCAGATTCCAGGCTGAAAAGAAAACATAAAAACACGTGAGATAATGCAATGCAAAAATGGTAATTTTCAGTGATTATAAGAGCACAGAAAACCATCAATATATCCAGCTAAATGCTACCACAATACTTAGCAAAAAATATGTGTTCTCAATTATATGATAAACTATTATAAGTTCTTAAGAGCAATCATTTCACTGAAAAGTGTGATTTTTAAAAACTACATTCTACAGGTATTTCTCCAAAACGGCCACTTTAACTATGATTTTCAATTTTTTTTAAAGATTTTTATTTATTTATTTGACAGAGAGAGCACAAGTAGGAAGAGCAGCAGGCAGAGGGAGAGGGAGAAGCAGGCTCCCTGCTGAGCAGGGAGCCTGATGTGGGGCTCGATCCCATGACCCTGGGATCATGACCCAAGCCAAAGGCAGCAGCTTAACCGACTGAGTCACCCAGGTGCTCCGATTTTCAATTATTTTTATCTTAATCTTCCTTCCAATCAGGATGGTCCCTTTGCCTCCCCTGTTAGTTCCTGCTACAGTTACTGTCGCTTCCAGGAGAGCTGATATTTAATAATAATCAATAAAACTTGGAGTTTTCTGGAATCAGAATATGCATAAGTGATAAAAGGTAAGTTTTCTCAAGGGAAAACTTATAAACAAATCAGGGAGGCCTGAATTGTTTATAAGTTGCTAACATATTCCCCATTTTGTCTTAATTTTTTTTTCTTTTTTAATGGCATTCTACTATTAGAGATTAATGGGATTAGTAAACATCCTCTTTCAAAGCTCTAACCCAAGTTTTAGTGTGAAATACTTTTTTCTAATGTCTAAAATATGCTCTAAGAATTTTATTAGAAAATGGGAAATGTATATATAGTTTTATGATACAGTGTGATTTAGAGCAGAGCAAACTGTTTTCATTTTTTTTTTCTCCCTCCAAAATAGAATACTATCCTAGGAGGATTAAGGAAACAGGAGAACTTTAGGAATATGAAAACCCAAGCCATCTCCTTATTCTCCTTCAGGCTTTAGAACCTACCTAAGACCCTAAACTTAAACTAGCACTATTAATACTGTGACTTAGTTACGTTATTGGTTAAATGGACTTACTCTGGATTATGGTGGAAAATGTAATCATTCTAACAGCCCTACAAGACAATAAATTTAGACTCCAAACACTCACTTTAAACAAATTATTAAAGTATAATGTTTATAAGCTTGGCCGACCTTTATAACAAATTATCAGTTCCTACCTCGTGCTCGTACTCGACATTCCTCTTCCTCTGCATTTCTGAGAATTTGTTTAGCATGATTCAAAGAGGATTCACATTTCAGAAGGTTTCTGACATGTGCAGCCAGTGAATCTACACTGCTACCACCAGCATCATCACTCTCCAACACAGCTTCTTCTTCTCTACTATCTGTCAAGCTTGTCTTGGGTGAAGCATATGGAATGAGGTTTAGAAGAACATCAGAAACTGACTCCAATGAATTACTGTCCCATGAGCAGGAACTGGCATCACTACTTGAATCACTTTTAATGATAGTCATCATAGGTATAACAATTTTATTCCCAGTGGTTCCACTATACCCTTCAGGTTCAGATCTCATTACAGATTTGTCTGCTCTATATTGCCGAAGGGTTTCGTCTACTGTCACTCTGGCTTTGCTTTCTGCTTCCTGTAGAGGACTTCTAACTGTAGTTGAACTAATAAACTCCCAATTCTCAATGCCTCTCTGGCATTTCAGATTTGTCTGTGTGCTAATATCCTTCTGTATGCACTTGTTGCTTGGGCTTTCCTCTGTAAATGGCTGTCTTTGAGGCAAATCACCATTAGATTCATCAGCTGTGAGGGGTTCTTTGAAGCAAACCACCTTCTTAGATTGTATAAATGAAATATCACTAACATCTCTGAAAGGGACCAGGGGAGCAGGAAAATTGCATCGTTTCAGTGCTATATTTTCTGCCTCCATTAAAAGAGTCCGAATCTCTCTAAGAGTTTTGGAACCACTGCTTGTATCTTGATTTTCCTCAGACCCAACATCTTCAAAACCTGAAGATTCTGGCTTACTTATTACAACTCTACCATCAGCCTGAGAACTTAAAGGTACACTGTTTGAGATAACACTGGAGTTAGAAGAATCCAAATTATCTATTAGCATTTGAACATGGTCTGAAACAAGTTTCTGCTTCTCATGTGAATAAGTACCAGGAGTAACTGTTGATAACCCAGTAATCTGATCAACTTGCCCAACACCCCTTGAGAACATCAGAGCATCTTGTGTTATACGTCTATCTGGAAAATTCTGTTGATAGAATATATTTGGTTTCTCTCTGTATGAAAAGGAATTAGGAGGAACTGTTGGTAACAGACTTTTCTGGTCAGCTGGTACAGGAATTGTTGAAACCTTCAGTGCATCTTCAGCTAGATGTTTGTCTGGCAATTCCTGTGGGTAGAAAATATTCGATTTCTCTCTGTGGGAATAGGAACTAGAAAGAGGTATCGGTATCCCAGAGTTCACATCAGTTGGTTCAGAGACAGGTGAAATTTTCAAAATATCCTCACTATGATGTCTATCTGGCAGCTCCTGTTGAAAGGGCTTCACTCTCTGAGAATAGGAATTATGAAGAACTGTCAGTAACGGAGTCGTCTGGTTATCTGGTCCAATCACAGTTGAAATTTTGGGCTTTTCTCTTTGTGAGTAGGAACTAAGGGGAGTTGTTAGTAACTCAGTCTTCTGGCCATCTGGTAAAATCACAGGTGAAATCTTGAGTTTCTCTTTACGTGAGTAAGAGCTAGAAGATCCTGTTGGTATCTCAGTCTTCTGATCAGCAGGTCCAGGAAGAGCAAAAATTTTTAAAGCTTCTTCAGAACCATCTGGCAACTCCTGCTGGTAAAAAATACTGTCCTTCTCTCTGTATGAGTAGGAACTAGAGGGAATTATATGTATCCCAGTCTTCTGGTCACCTGGTCCAGAAACAGCTGAAACTTTGAGAGTTTCTTCAGTAATATCTGGCAACTCCCTCTGACAAGAAAAGATGGGGCTCTCTCTATGTGAATAGGAAGCAAAAGACCCAAATCGTATCCCAGTCTTCTGGTCAGCTGACCCAGGAGCCCCTAAAACTTTTAAAGCACCTTCATTAGGATCTGGCAACTCCTGCTGGTAAGAAATGATGGGCTTCTCTCTATGTGAGTAAGGAGTAGAGGTTACTACTGCTATTCCAGTCTTCTGGTCACCTAGTCCAGGAACCCGGAAAACACTTAAAGCTGCTTGAGTAAGATCTGGCAACTCTTGCTGATAAATGATGGGCTTCTCTCTATTTGAGTAAGAACCCGAGGTAATTGTTGGTTTTCTGGTCTTCTCATCACCTGGCCCAGAAACAGGTGAAATTTTCAGAGCTTCTACAGGCCGCTGATTGTCTGACAAGGGCTGTTGGTACAAAATACTGGGCTTCTCTCTATGAGAGTAAGAAACAGAAGGTACTGTTGGTATTCCAGTCTCCTGGTCAGCTGGTTCAGGAGAAGCTGAAACATTCAGAGCCTCTTCAGTGAGATGCCTATCCGATAAGGCCTGCTGACAGAAAATAATGGGCTTCCCTCCAAGTGAGTAAGAACTTGAAGGTATCCCAGTCTTCTGATCACCTGTTGCAGAAACAGCTGAAACTTTCAGAGTCTCTTCAGTTAGATGACTGTCTGATAACTCCTGTTGGTAAAAAATGTTAGACTTCTCTCTGTGTGAGTAGGAACTAGAAGGTTCTGATGGCAACCCAATCTTCTGGTCAATTGGTCCAGGAATAGCTGAAACTTTCAGAGCCTCCTGAGGCACCCGACTGTCTGTCAAGCCCTGTGAGTGGAAAATAATGGGCTTCTCTCTGTATGAGTAAGAACTGGAAGGTTCTGATGGCCATCCAGTCTTCTGGGCAGCTGGTCCAGGAACAGCTGCAACTTTCAGAGCCTCCTGAGATACCTGACTGTCTGTCAAGCCCTGAGGGTAGAAAATAAGGGGCTTCTCCCTATATGAGTAGGAACTGGAAGGTTCTGACGGCAACCCAGTCTTCTGGTCAGCTGGTCCAGGAATAGCTGAAACTTTCAGAGCCTCCTGAGGCACCCGACTGTCTGTCAAGCCCTGTGAGTAGAAAATAATGGGCTTCTCTCTATATGAGTGGGAACTGGAAGGTTCTGATGGCAACCCAGTCTTCTGGTCAGCTGGTCCAGGAACAGCTGAAACTTTCAGAGCCTCCTGAGGCACCTGGCCATCTGTCAAGCCCTGTGGGTAGAAAGTAAGGGGCTTCTCTCTATGTGAGTAGGAACTAGAAGGTTCTGATGGCAACCCAGTCTTCTGGTCAGCTGGTCCAGGAATCGCTGAAACTTTCAGAGCCTCCTGAGATACATGACTGTCTGTCAAGCCCTGAGGGTAGAAAATAATGGGTTTCTCCCTATATGAGTAGGAACTGGAAGGTTCTGATGGCAACCTAGTCTTCTGGTCAGTTGGTCCAGGAATAGCTGAAACTTTCAGAGCCTCCTGAGGTACCTGGCTGTTTATCAAGCCCTCTGGGTAGAAAATAATGGGCTTCTCCCTATATGAGTAGGAACTAGAAAGTTCTGATGGCAACCCACTCTTCTGGTCAGTTGGTCCAGGAACAGCTGAAACTTTCAGAGCCTCCTGAGGTACCTGGCCATCTGTCAAACCCTCTGGGTAGAATATAATGGGCTTCTCTCTATGTGAGTAGGAACTAGAAGGTTCTGATGGCAACCCAGTCTTCTGGTCAGCTGATCCAGGAATAGTTGAAATTTTCAGAGCTTCTTCAAGTAAATGACTGCCTGGCAAGGCCCGAGGGGGAAAAATAATGGGCTTCTCTCTAGGTGAGTAGGAACTAGAAGGTTCTGGTGACAACTCAGCCTTCTGGTCAGTTGGTCCAGAAACAGTTGAACCTTTCAGAGCCTCCTGAGGTACCTGGCCGTCTGTCAAACACTCTGGGTTGAAAATAATGGGTTTCTCTCTATGTGAGTAGGAACTAGAAGGTTCTGATGGCAACCCAGTCTTCTGGTCAGCTGATTCAGGAACAGCTGAAACTTTCAGAGCCTCTCCAAGTAAATGACTGCCTGGCAAGGCCTGAGGGGGAAAAATAATGGGCTTCTCTCTAGATGAGTAGGAACTAGAAGGTTCTGGTGGCAACTCAGTCTTCTGGTCAGTTGGTCCAGAAACAGCTGGAACTTTCAGAGCCTCCTGAGGTACCTGGCTGGCTGTCAAACCCTCTGGGTAGAAAGTAATGGGCTTCTCTCTATGTGAGTAGGAACTAGAAGGATCTGATGGCAACCCAGTCTTCTGGTCAGCTGAAACTTTCAGAGCCTCTTCAAGTAAATGACTACCTGGCAAGGCCTGAGGGGAAAAAATAATGGGCTTCTCTCTAGGTGAGTAGGAAGGAGAGGATACTGTTGATATTCCAGTCTTCCAGTCAGCTGATCCAGATGTGGCTGAAGGTTTCAGAGCCTCTTCAGTGAGATGAGTGTCTGTCAAGTCCTGAGGGGAGAAAATAATGGGTTTCTCTCTATGTGAGGAGGAAGTAGAGGGAACTACTGGTATTCCAATCTTCTGGTCAGCTGGTTCAGAAACAGCTGTAACTTTTAGAGCTTCTTCAGGTAGATGTCTCTCTGGCAAGCCCTGTGGGTAGGAAATAAAGGGCTTTTCTATATCTGGGTAAGAAGTAGAAGTTACTGTTGATATTTTGGTCTTCTGGTCAGTAGGTTCAGGAACAGGTGAAACTTTCTGAGCCTGTTCAATTAGAGAACTGTCTGGCAACTCCTGTTGGTAGAAAATATTGTGCTTCTCTCTATGTGAGTAGAAATTAGAAGCTTCTGATAGTAACCCACTCTTTTTTTCAGCTGGTCCAGAAGCAACTGAAACTTTCAGAGTCTCTTCAGATAGATGACTGTCTGGTGAGACCTGCTGATAGAAAATATTGGGCTTCTCTCTAAGAGAGTAGGGCCTAGAGGGCACTATTGGTATCCCAGTTTCCTGGTCAGCTGGTCCAGGAACAGCTGGAACTTTCTGAGCCTGTTCAGTTAGATGACTATCTAGCAACTCCTCTTGGCAGAAAATACTGGACTTCTCTCTATGTGAGGAGGAAGTAGAGGTCACCGTTGGTATCCCAGTCTTCTGCTCAGTGGATTCAGGTGCAGAACATTTCCGAGCCTGTTCAGTTAGACAACTTTCTGGAAATGTTTGTTGATAGAAAATATGGGGCCTCTCTCTATGTGAGTAAGAAGTAGAGGATACTGCAGGTATCCTAGTCTTCTGATCAGCTGGTCCAGGAAGAGCTGCAACTTTCTGAGTCTGTTCAATTAAATGTCTATCTGGCAAGACCTGTTGGTAAAAGATACTGGGCTTTTCTCCAAGTGAGTAGGAATGTGAAGATAATGTAGGTATCCCAGTGTTCTGATCAGCTGGTTCAGGAACAAATGAAACTTTCAGAACCTGTTTAGTTAGATGACCATCTGACAAATGCTGCTGGGAGAAAATAATGTGCTTCTCTCTTTGTGAATAGGAAGTAGAAGGTACTATTGTTTTCTCAGTCCTCTGGTCAGTAGCTACAGGAACAGCTGAAATTTTCAGAGTCTCTTCAGTTAGATGACTGTCTGGCAAGGCCTGTGGGTAGAAGATAC